TGGCTTACATTGGAAATGAGGAGAATCAAGAGGAAGAAATATCCATCTCTGTATTTTTTTTTAATCATGAATCTCTAACTCTTTATTACCTTTAGTTATCAATTTCGTTCTATTTCGTCCCGAATGATTGGTATATGTGGTATCACTTCAAAAAATACAATAAAATAAAAAAAATTATTTTATTTAGAATCTTTATGTGTCTGGCATATCTTTTCAGATACTGGCCAAGATGTTTTGTTTTTGCACAGACCAAAACAATGTCAAAATTAAAACTTTATTGGTTTCATCATATTTAAATTTTTTTCCCCTAAAACATTCATCATCTGTGATCAATTTTTTTAAATCTTATCTACTATACATGAAAAAAAGATAATTTAGAAATAAAAAAAAATAACATCCAACTTTGATAAAAAGACTAATTAATGATTTTCAAAAAATGAAGTGACTAACTTAGAAAATCATCAAAAACACATGGACTAAATTATATCATACTCTCTCCCTCTCTCTGTCCTGCAACTCCTGTCTTTCCTGTCATTTTAATCATGCATTGTATACATTTCTCAAAATATGTGTGTTCATTATGACAACATAATGGATCCACAGTTTCTATGTGAATTGCAAATATTTTTAATTTTATAGATAATTAAATGATGGCTTTTGAGTGTTATAATTTGGCCTTTAATATATTTTTTTTTTTTTTATATTTTGTTTGTGTTGAACAAATGTTAATTTAACTTTTGAAAATGTTGCAAAACTTTAAAATTTATTATTAGGTGGTTAACATTTTATTTGTATTTTATTATTTAAAACTAATTCATTTTTAGATTTAAGTTGAAAATTATGTATCTTGAAATATTATTTTGATTTTTTGTATTATATATATAATTCCAAAATAGAACATCAAAATATATCGATATGAGAATTTTATTTTATTTTAAAAGCAATTATTACCCTATAAAGAGATAGATCAAAAGACAAAAGAGAAATTTTTTTTTTAAAAAAAAATTGAGTATGTTTAAATATTTTTATCATTTTTAGGTCTAAATATAATTTTCTTTTTATCTATTTTTTTTTCAAATTAAATCCATAAAGTAATATTATTAGCTGCTCCAATAAATTACTAATTTGTGTGCCCCTCTAATCTTTATATATTATTCTGGTTAATTTTTTAGGACGATTACTTTGTAAGTATACCAACTTTAAATCTTTTCTTAATTAAGTATATAAATTTTATTTTATTTTTTAATTTGAGTATACTAATTTTTCAAAATCTCAATCAAGTATCTTCGCTAATTTTTCTATTCACTAATGTCTCTCGTTATATTCAAAAAAACCAAATTATCATTTTATCATTTTTTTTCTCAATGAAGTATATAAATTTTAATTTTTTCAAATTGAGTGTAACAATGTTTTTTAAAACCGTTAATCAAGTATTTTTATCAATTTCTCTATTAATTGTTGATGTGTTCGACTACCAAATTACATCTTTTCTCTTTTTTGTTGTAAGAATTTTTTTCCTTAAATTATCCTATCATTTTAAAACTTGACAAAAAATTAATAAATTATTCTATCATTTTAAAAATTGAAAAAAAATATACTTTTAATTATATTATCTTGAACTAAGCTTAATTAGGATTGCTATTAAAAAAATTAATTAGGTTTTGGGTGTGAAAGTTGAAAGAAATACAAATACAAGATTTTTCATTAAAAAGATTCATTTGTGTTTTTCTTTCATTTTTTACTCTCAAACCTAACCGAGTTTATTTTTTTTTAACAATAATCTACTCAAGTTTAGTTTGAAATTTTATAGATAAACAATAACATTTTTAATTATTTTTCAAATTTTAAAATGGTAAAATAATTTAGGAAGAAAGTTTTATTCAACAAAAAGATGATTAAATTATACTTTCATATTCAAATATGTCATCAATTAACAAAAAAACTGATGGAAGTACTTGATTGATAGATTTGAAAAAATTGATGTAATCAAACAATTTTTTTTAAAAAATTTATGTATTCGATTGAAAAAAAAAAAAGATAAAATTTATGTACTCGATTTGAAAAAAATTGTTTTTGTACAAACCAAAACAATGTCAAAATTAAAACTTTAATGTTTTTCATCATAATTAATTTTTTTTTCCTACAACATTCATCATCTCGTGATCAATTTTTTAATCTTATCTACTATGCATGAAAAAGATAATTTAGAAATTAACCAAAAAAAAATTAACATCTAACTTTGATAAAAAGACTAATTTATGATTTTAAAAAATGAAATGACTAACTTAGAAAATCATCAAAAACACCGACTAAATTATATCATACTCTCTCCCTCTCTCTCTCTCTCTCTTACAAATCTTATCTTGAAGGATCATGCATCCTATGGAGGTACGTAATAAACAAAAATTTCCTCCATCTAGGGCTCTAAGATTAAGCCGTTGAATCTATTAACCATAAATACATGAATAACAAGTTATAAGTTAAAGGATTACCTCTTATAGCGCAGCATCTAAATTCCTTTTTAGTAAAGCCGTCCAAGTGTCCGACTTCATTGATGATCCACACAGATCCAAGTATCCATAAAGAAACACTCAAAATTAATGAGGTGCCAACTCTACCTTTTCGATTATGTATTTCCTCTAGAAATTAATCTCGAATAATTTTGCGACAACCTTAAAAGAGAGAAAAGAATATTTCTTGCTAGGGTTTAGGAGAAACTATTTTCTCTTTTATTTTTTCTCTTGGTCGTGTGCCCTATGTAATTTTTGGGTCGGCCGAATTTTCTCTCTCCTTTTTTCTTATGTTGGTCGAATTTTCCCTCTTCCTCCTATATATTTATAGGAGAGTTTCCTTGTCCTCCAAGGATAAGGAGAGAGGCGACTATAAGTCCATAAAAGACTCTAGGTTGTTGCTTCCTTATCCTCTAAGAATAAAGAGTTATTTTATATGTGGACTATTTGATTATTATCGTTAAAAAATTCAACCTTATCTAATAAGATTGATATTTATCCTCCCACCAAAATTATCTTTAAGATTTTAATTAAATCTAATGGGCCAAAACTATTTTAGGCCAATTTATTTATTTGGACTATCCAAATAAATATTTTTAGATTATTTTGGCGGGGTCTACATTAGGAAATAATTTTCTAAAATACCCTTTAACCTAAATTAGGAAACTCCTTTCCTTTTAGGTTCTTTATTTTCAAACTTGAAACAAACTTTCAAATTAGAAAATCGATTTATAAAATAGAAAACTTTCCATTTTAGGAAACTTTTCATTTTGGAAACTTTTTCCAAAATAGAAAACCTTTTGTAATTGGAAACTTTTTTCAATATCTTTGCTTTCTCATTTATAATGTGGATACTTAAACCGTTGTGTGTGACTCAATAGGCTCATAGATATGTTGACAATGTATCAAAAATAAAATACTTCTCTTTTCTTTCTTGACACATAAATCAAGATTGACCTCTAGCAAGACATCATGATCGCCCAATTCTCTAGGAGGATTAGTTAATCCATTATTATCTTTCACGAGCATGGTTACTATATAATTCAATCCTCATGTCAACTTATCACGAGTGTGATCTCAAACTTGGTTATTAGTCTTGTTCGATTATGATCACACAAGTTTTTTTCGATTCTCAAATGTCTTAGCTATTAGAGTAAACTAACCATGTTTTATTGGTGTACTCCTACTATGGTCATAGATTTCTTGAGTAGACACTTATCAAAGTGCAATGTGATAACTTCTTTAACATACAAGAAATAACATGTCCTATCTTAGTCATACATCTATCTTCATTGGATTCCTAGTACACCCAACGAATGACCCACGTGCAACCCATTAATAGGTCCATCGAAACAACTCGTCAAAGTGCATAAGTCTTCTAATGAGATAACCGTGATGACTTCAAGTCTAAGGACCATTTGTACCCATCTCATATGAGATTCCCATAGACTAAAACCAAATGGGTTCTCATGGCGAGTCAAGTCTAGTGATATGTTCTCTAACATAAATCACCTAAGTGCTTGTTTGGCATCTCCATGCCAATAGGTGTGAGATCTCTTACTCGCTATCACATAGCATAAGCATAGCACTCACAAGTCTATCCGCATTTGTTAATGTCCATTCTTAACAATGTTACGACTTAGGATATTTAATGATATAATTTATATATATTAGTGTTTGTCTCACATCTTTCGATCAATCACTATTACAAATGCATATCATAAGGACTTTTATCTAATTCTAATGAACATGTAAGCATAGGAATTAACAAAATGACTTCTTTATTATTATCAAAATAAATAATACAATGATACATTAACTTAAGCCCATCCATACATAGTTGGATTTTAGGCAACTACACTAATATATCTTTCCTATCATTTTAATTATGCATTGTATACATTTCTCAAAATACGTGTAAGGGGTGAGCAAATGGTTCAACGGTTCGGTTTTGTACAATTCGATTCGATTTTTTGTTAATCAAATTAAGAAAAACGAAGCTGAAATCAAATTGAAATAAATTCGATAAATTTGGTTCGAAAACAAATTATTTCATTTTCAAAAAAATTCAATTTTAACCAAAATATTTTACTATAAAAAAAACTCATTCATTCGTTAGATTACGCCTTGCGAAATAACAAGAATTAACAATAGGTTCATTGGATCCGTATGCATGAGAATAAAATGTTTCCATCAAAACCATTTTTTATCTTTTCAAAGAAAAACATCAAGAAAATAAAATGGAAAAATATCAAGGAAATCCACATTCCATACCGATATGAGTATTACCAAATTGTTTTAGCCAATAAGTGAACTAATTTAAAATTTTCTCCATATCTCAATCCCTAACCCCAAAAAGATGAAGAACAATTACAATAATAATATAAAGCTAATTTTTCTTTATCCTTACACTTTTCTACTCGAATTTTGATTAACATGATCATTTGATCACTCTCACAATAGCTACAAGCATGGTCGCCTTGATCACTCTCACAACAACCGCAACCATGTTGCTAATAACCCAATACCACTTAGTGGCATTGCGAATAAATCCATAACACGAATAGTATATTCATCCACAAACTCTCTAAGCATCAAATCCATCACTTCCATTGGTCTCCCAGACTCTTCCTAACATCCATATCCACCAAAATCAAACATAAAAAATTCAATTCTTAACAACTCTTCAAAATTCAAAAAAAAATATATATATATATAATAATAATAAATCTAGAAAACTTGTTCAAATCCAAAACCTTAGAATATGGGTACAAATTCGAATTAACAAAGAACCAACAACAAATCCTTAAAAGTGAAATATGCCATATCTATAGGTTCTAGATTTTAGGAAAACATACCGTGTTTAAGCATTTTAAGGAGGGCGAGAGATGAGATGTAGATTTGCTAGAGGAATTGAGAGTGGGAGAATCCGGTGGTGGATGGGCCACCGCGCCTTCTGCTCCTACAAAAATTCTTTGTAGTCTCTCCATGCTCGACATTTTGTTTTCACTTTCTTGATTTCTCTCTCTAGCTAATTATTGAGAGGTTTTCTCTGTGAGCAAGACAGATCTGCTAATTTCTAGTGTAACCGGTATTTATTTAGAAGAAAAATGAACAAATTTGATACCCAAATTTTTGGTCGCCAAGTCTTTTAGAGTTAGGGATTTAGATTAGGATTTAGCAAAAAACAAAAAAAAAGAAAAGAAAAGAAATTTATCGGCAACTTTTTTTATTTTCGGTTCAAATTGATTTTTTTTTCAAAAAACAAACCGAATCGAAATAATTTTGATATTTCGGTTCGGTTTTAAATTTAACAAATTTAAGCTTAAAACTAAATCAAAATACATAATTCGATTTGGTTCTATTCGGTTTTCGGTTAACCGAACCGTTTGCACACTCCTAAATTTGTGTGTTCATTACGACAATAATGGATCCACAGTTTCTACATGAAAATTGCAAATATTTTTAATTTTATAGATAATTAAATGATGATTTTTTAGTATTATAATTTGGCCTTTAAGAATTTTTTTTTGTTGATATTTTGTTTGTGTTGAAAAAAAGTTAATTTAAGTTTTGAAAATGTTGCAAAACTTTAAAATTTATTATTAGATGGTTAACATTTTATTTGTATTTTATTATTTAAAACTAATTCATTTTTAGATTTAAGTTGAAAATTATGTATCTTGAAATATTATTTTGATTTTTTAAATTGTATATATAATTCCAAAATAGAACATCAAAATATATCGATATGAGAATTTTATTTTATTTTAAAAGCAATTATTACCCTATAGGCGAGATACATCAAAGACAAAAGAGAATTTTTTTTTTTTTTAAATTGAGTATGTGTAAATATTTTTATCATTTTTTGGGTCTAAATGTAATTTTCTTTTTATCGATCTTTTTGTTTTTTCAAATTAAATCCATAAAGTAATATTATTAGTTGCTCTAATAAATTACTAATTTGTGTGCCCCTCTAATCGTTATATATTATTTTGGTTAATTTTTCGGGATAATTATATTATAAGTATATCAATTTTAAATATTTTTTTAATTAAGTATATAAATTTAAATTTTTCTTAATTTGAGTATACTAATTTTTTCAAAATCTCAATAAAGTATTTTTGCTAATTTTTCCGTTAACTAATGTCTTTGTTATCTTCGGAAAACCAAATTATAATTTTATCATTTTTTTCTCAATGAAGTACATAAAATTTAATTTTGTCAAATTGAGTATATCATTTTTTTTCAAAATTATCAATCAAGCATTTTTTGTCAATTTCTCTACTAATTTTTGATGTGTTTGACTACCAAATTACACCTTTTCTCTTTTTTGTTGCAAGAATGTTTTCTTAAATTGTCCTATCATTTTAAAATTTGACCAAAAAAAAATATTATTCTATCATTTTAAAATTTGAGAAAAAATAAAAAAATATACTTTTAATTATATAATCTCAAACTAAGCTTAATTAGGCTTGCTATTAAAAAAATTAATTAGGTTTTGGGTGTGAAAGTTGAAAGAAATACAAAACGTAAGATTTTTCATTAAAAAGATTGATTTGTGCTTTTCTTCCATTTTTTACTCTCAACGTTAACTGAGTTTATTTTTTTAACAACAATCTACCCAAGTTTAGTTTGAAATTTTATAAATAAAAAATAATATTTTTAATTATTTGTCAAATTTTAACATGGTAAAATAATTTAGGGAGAAAGTTTTATTCAACAAAAAGAAAATAAAATTATAATTTTATATTCGAATATGTCATCAGTTAACAAAAAAATTGATAACAGTAATTTATTAATAGATTTATAAAAATTGATGTAATCAAACAATTTTTTTTAAAAAAATTTATGTACTTGATTGAAAAGAAAAATTATAATTTGATATTTTGATGGTAATAAAGATTTTATCAGATAAAGAAAAAATTGATAAAAATACTTAATTGATAATTTCAAAAATATTAATTTGTTAAAAAATTAAAATTCATATATTTGATTGAAAAAAATAAAAATTAATGTGATTAAATTTTAATTTTCTCTTGATCTTTTTTGTCCCTGTTCTCTAAAATTGACCTGTTAAACGATCCAAAGACCAACCCTCTCTTTGGCCGTATCTGCGTTGTCTATACTGCCTTTCATTCAACTGAAGAGTTAAGACTAGAAATTCATTTCAAAAACTCACACATACAGAGACAGACCCACACAGATTTGAGAAAACAAAAAAAACAGAGAGAGATAGAGATGGGGTTTTTCTCTTTTCTCGGCAGAGTTCTCTTCGCTTCCCTCTTCATCCTTTCAGCTTGGCAAATGTACACCATTACTTCCTCTCTCTATCTTTTAGATCTCTTTAATTTTATGTAGTTTTTGTTTCATTTTCACTTTTTAAGTCGGATTCATGTGCTTTTCATCACGGCCCTTTCTTCCAGATCCGATGCTAGCTATTATTGTTGTTTTTGCTTATGATTTTATGTTTTTGTTATATTTGTCAGCCCATAGTAGTAGTATATTTTGTGTTTTTGTTTATTTTTTGCATTTATGGAATCGTGTTCTCCATTTTTAATCTTTTCAATTTTATTGTCTAATTAGCCAAAACAGTGCCAAATACCGCGATTTCTCTTGTTTTATGGGAAGATGCTTCTGCTGATGATTATTCGATCAATTATTTAGTCACAGTTTTAGTATATTTATGGTGCAGTATTGCAGCCAATTCTTGTTTCAGTTATGATTCAAGAATAAATGCACAAACAAGTCCTTTTGCAATCTTGAAGTTTGATTTTACTGCAGAAATTAATCCATTATGCCTACTGAAATGAGCAATGTGATGTTTAACACTGATTTATTTGGTAATACTGTGTTCTGATTTTTAATGTTTCAAAAAGTATGCCAAATGTTTGGCAGCTTCTAAACTATCATTTCCTGTCGAGCTTTGTATTTTGCTGTGGGGGGTTTATGGTATTTTTTGAACTAAAAGGTCAGGTGATACTAGTTTGTATGGACTTTGATGTTCTTTATGCTATTGGTAAACTACTGCTTGACTAAATCTTTATAGTTATCAATTTGCAATGCTTTCTTACTGTTATTTGGGTTGTTGAGTACTCCAGCAAAATGTTGGATGCTTCTGTGTTGAAGTTTCTTATATATGCTTAGGTTCAATGAATTTGGCGAAAATGGTGGCCCTGCTGTGACAGAGTTGATTCCCAAGCTTGCTGTTGTCAAGAAACATATTTCATCTCAATTGGGGGTCAGGATCCCTAACATTGATGTAAGAACTTTTCCCCTTAGTCTGTTGCTATGGTAACTCTTGCAGATTTTTGTTGGGTGTCATTTCACTTTGCTTGCTGTTCGCTTTCTGATTCAGAGGTATTTTATGCAGCCTAGACATTTGGTAGCGGGCATGATTGTTCTAAAGGGTCTTGGAGGCTTTTTATTCGTATTTGGCAGCTCTCTTGGTGCTTTTCTTCTGGTTACGATCTTCCTTTCCTTTGAGTCTTTATTTGATTGATTGCCTTTAGAATGTGATGAATTATCACTGGGCTCTGCCCAGTAGCTGCTTCTGATTCATACTATTATCATCAAATGAAATATTTCATTATTTCTATTTTGCTTCAGCTCACCTACTTGGTGGTTTCCTCTCCGATTCTGTATGACTTCTATAACTATGATCGGGATGAGTCCAAGTACTACATTCTCTTAAATGAATTCTTGCAGGTTTGTTTCAATATATGACTTTTTTATGTTGTTTATCTCCCCTTTCTTTTCTCTTGTTCTTTGTCTTCTTTTATTTTGCATTTTGCTGGGAAACCTTCTTAATTTTTGGGTTTGTGAGGTATTGGCAGAGCGTTGCGCTTTTTGGTGCATTGCTTTTCTTCGTAGGGATGAAGAACTTGATTCCAAAGAGACAGCTCAAGAAGAAGACTCCCAAGGCAAAAGTGGGCTAGGCGTATCAAAGAAGCAAACTTTAAAGATTGGATCATTGTTGTAGGTGCTGAAATCTTACTCGGTGTCTAGTGGCTGCTCATATCATATTTTTATGGATGTTTCCCAAGCTATCCATATGATGCCCAAATTTGTAGTTCTGTGTTGTGGGGGGTTTTTTTAACGTTGATGGTCCCTAATTCACAGGGTGTGATATTGTCAATTCTAATACTGAATTGGCTCGATATACGTTTCATTTTGTCAAGTGAAATTTATTTATGATCTGTTATGCTAGAATATTATGATTTTCGTGAATTTGTGAACGGTGGATCATAGTTTAATATTTTTCATGCTTCGGTTGCCCATTTAGACGAATGATTTTCCTAGACCACAAAAAGTATTCAGTTCATTTAGTTTTTGGGCCTTATGAATTTTGAATATGTTCTCGAAAATTGATCTCTTGGTTACGTACTGCTCCCTAGCACTGTTCCATTGTGTTCTCGCTTCTCTGTTTCCAAAGTACAAAACCATTTCAAGCAATGGCCAGGTTAACAACCAATAAGCTTTAATTTAACTGACATTAATTTTCCTCATTTCTTTAAATTCCTTTTAGTTGATAAGTGAGAAAAAATAGATCCTACATGAATTATTAAGAAAAGAATATGGAGACCTTTTTAGCAAAATATCCAGACTTTTGATTTTTTTTTCGAGTTTTCTTAGTTATCTAAGATTGAAAAAGACTGATATGATTGAGATTTATTGACATACTATAATCTTTAAATGACGCGTGACAAAAAATAGATCATACCTGGATTTAATGAGAAAAATAAAATAAAATTATAAAATTCTTATAAATAAAGAGCTAACAATAATTTTAAAAAATTCATAATCAATTATTATTAACTGAATGAATTCATTAAGTTTGCTGACTAATTTCTCAAAACGCTAATAAGATGTCATCATCATCAAAACATTTCATTTTTTTAACCCAAGGTTAACCTTCCATCATCTAAACAATTTGAATTTATTTGATTAATAATAATTAATTTTTATTTATTTTTAATTCTTGTCAATTATTTTCTTTTCTGTAAATTATACATTTATTTTTCAATAACTTTGAGTGAAACTCATGTTTTACTAGGTGTCAATTAAAGATCGTCATATGTTAGTTTATCCAGCTACGTCAGTATTTCTAGTCTCAAGTGGTTGAAGAAATTTAAATAAAAAAATAATAAAAAATTAGACACTAAAATTGTAATTCTTTTAAATAATTCAAGTGAAACTTACTTTTATCAGGTGTTAATTTATTTTAGATATACCAATATTTTTTAATCTCAAGTTCTTATAAACACTAAAAAAAAAAAAAAAGGAAAAAGAAACCAAAACTTTAGACACGAAGTTTTATCGGTATGACAAAAAAAAAAAAAAAACCTTAAATACTAAAATTATAATTTTCTCATTAATTAATTAGTTGTATACTAAGGTTCTCAGATTTCACTTGAATAAAACTCGCTCTTTCAATGGAAAAAACCGTTTTTGGATAAAACTCTGAAGACTACTGTGAATAGGAGAAAGAAGTGAAGTGAGCAGAATAAGTTTAACAAGTCTCTCCCGCTGCTCTTCTTTTCTCCACAGAAATGGTAAAAGCACCAATAATTCTCTAGTCGTTTCTTTAAATTCAGTAAATTGATTAAACTTTTTTTTTTTTTTGGGTAATGGCAGGATTATTTGAAAACGGTAATCCCTTCGCAGCTCGTCTCCGACCGAGGCTCCAATTTAGTAGTCATCAATCCAGGTACGTACTTAAATTGAAAACCCTAAAAAATCAAATCATCATTCATTATTAGCAAGTAAATATAACGATTTTTGTTTTTGCTAATTGTAATTGGTTTAGGCTCTGCAAATATCCGAATAGGAATGGCTACACAAGATACTCCCTTAAATATTCCTCATTGCATTGCTCGTTATACCAATCAAGTTCCCAAATTTAAAGTCCAAGATCAGGTAGATTCTTACGTACCACTTTTCTACCTTTTTTACTGCTTTATTTTTTTGTTTTTTATTTTTTTGTTGTTTTATTATTTCTTGCTTTTAGATGCTGAATTCTCAAGTCACAACAGCACAGCACATGGAACGAGAGAAGGCATATGATACAGTGAGTTAACTCATGCTATTTGCATTTCTTAGTTATTTATTTAGTTATTTTATCATCTTCACATTTGCCGAGGAACACTGTAAGACTTGATGCTTTTTCCCCCTTATTTCTTGAAGATAGCGTCGTTATTGAAGATACCTTTTCTGGATGAAGAGGTTGCCAACAATTCTTTCCCACGCAAGGTATTTGAAATCATTGTTACTATTTCATTTGGCCTGATTTAGGCTTTGTGGTGGTGGTCTGTAGAACAATATCAATGCTTCTTGTGTTAATATTCTTATAATCTTCACTTTGGAAGAATTGCCGCTACTCTGTCTACTGGTTTAGAAGGGTTTGACAACCGTGACATTGTCTTTTCAGTTCCCTTTTCACGATCCTGCTTGTTTGTGATTATTACTGGATTCTTTTTGTGGTTTTTTTTTATTAGAGTATAAAATATATAGTTTAGAGGGACGAGGGATATATAGACATGCAGCTCAGTTAATGGTTAGAAATTGCTAGTGAAATTATACTATTTAACTTGTACTGCAGATAGGACGTGGTGATGGATACAATCCACAGAGTGGCAGGAGTGTTGCTTTTCCATGGGCTAATGTGTATGTGCAGGATACCGATTCTTCTTTGGCATTAGGTAATAGAATGAAGTCTTATTCTCTCTAACATACATGTTAGTTACGATAAACTGAATTTCATCTTGTACTAGTTATGATTTATACATTTTTTAAACCTTTCTACACCTTTTGGTGGGCATCTTGTCTGACCTGGAAAGTGCATACATACTACCTCTAATGACTTCAAAATTCATGAGTGAGTCTTGCTACAATTTATCAGTATTGCTCATTCAATATTATTGCATCATGAACTGCCCCCTACGCTAATTTTGAAGGTTTGTATATTATTAATTACTTATGACTTGGATTAATGAAGCACTGGTGGAGCAAGTTTACATGAAGTTGGAGTCTCTTATCTTTAAATATATGCAATGAGAAAAAGGCACCAAGGCAATGACAAACCCAGAATCTGGTGATTGGTTGGGCAAAATGTAACATTTTCATTTTGGGGTGGCCATTAGGTTAGAACTTATATGAAAAGTTTGCCCCCCTTTAGACTCATCCCTGCACCGAGGGTTTACCATCCCTATGCAGGTTCAAAAGACCACATAACAAAAATTTTAGATACTTCGTAGATTTTATTGTCAGAGTAATTTATTTTGCTTGCATTTTTTAATTTAATGCCTTTTTATGCTTAAATATTGAAGGCTAACAAAAATAAAATTCTTGAGCATTATGCTTATGTTATAAAAGCATGGTACAAAGGAATGAGGGGCAATTCCATATCATTTGAGCTCAAATATAAATAATGGGCCTTGAGATTAGAGATCCTTGGCACAATTTATGGCGCTTTCCTTGCATAGGTTGCTCTTGATTGATCGACTAAATTTTTATGGTGTTCTCTGTGCTTATTATCTGGCATTAAATAATATGTGGTGGCTGTATGATCCTTATGGCACACTGTTTTTAATATAAATCTTGAAGCATCAATTACTTCCTCATTTTGAATGATACTGGGCTTTCTTATTTATCTTTTTCTTGTATTCTGAGTTTCTGACTACTCTTGATTTTTTGTGTTACATCTGATAAAAAATAAGTTCGCAGGGATTAAGCTTTTTAGCTTTCTGATCACAAACGTAGATTACTGTGAATTGCATCTGTATCCTAATATATGCAAATTATTTGTGCAGGAACATCAAAAAATGAAGGTATAGGAGGTGAGTCTGTGGAGAAGCATGTAGGCACTGATGCTAGGGAGATTAGTTCAGGGGACTGCAAATTCAGAGGACAAATTTTTGGTGAAGAAGCACTTAGAATCGCCCCAATAGAGCCATACTGCATAAGCCGTCCTATTCGCAGAGGTCATTTCAACATTTCGCAACATTATCCTTTGCAGCAGGTTTCGTCCTTGCATTAATTAGCTTAGAAGCATGATTTGAATTATATGTGACTTTTTCAGCTGAAGGAGAAAAATAATCTCTCTCTCTCTCTCTCTCTGGAAAGTGCTATTATGTATCGCCATCTTGTGTGACTGTGTCATTAATGTGGACCAAACGTAACATTGTTGTATGATGGCATACACATAATAAAAGAAACTATGCTCTAGTTATTTACAGGTATTTTCTTATTTTCCATTACATAGGTGCTCGAGGACATGCATGCTATTTGGGATTGGATATTGACAGAGAAATTGCATATCCCTCACTCAGAAAGAAACATGTATTCTGCAATCCTTGTTTTGCCAGAAACATTTGATAATCGTGGTAATGATATTTTAGTAGTTCCTTTTATATAGATCTTGATACCTTCAGATGGTGAACTCCACTCATTATTTCTCATTTTGGCCCCATGAATAAAACAAAACAAGTTAACAATGTGCACTTACTATGATACTCAACCATGGTTGAAGCAAGATTCTATAATGCTTGATGGTCAAATTAGTGTTGGTATGCATTTTATCATGTTGTTATGGTAGATGACTCTTATGAGATTCCTTTTGCTTAACATTTGTCTTGGTTATCAAGAGTCCAGCTAACTTGTCTGGTTGAATAATGTTGTTAATGTCACCCCAAACTCCAAGGTAAAAAAAGTTTTAGACTCTGAAGTAAGCTCATTTCATAAAGTGCTGTCAAACTGCATAAAGCTGTATTAAAATGTCTATTTCTTCATTTTCCTCAAAACCTTTAATAGGACACAATCTATGGCCTTGATTGCCATGCTTTTCAAGGTATCAGTAGTCAATCACACATTTCCTCTGCTTTGGGGTTCTTTGTGAAGTTGCACCACGCTCTAGCTTTTAGGTGGCATTCGGTATGAGGTTAAAAAAGGAGGGTAAATGATTAAAAGATTAGTCTTTAAGGGTGTAAAAGATAGTTTTTTAGGATTTTTGATGTGTTAATAAATTGAAGGGTGAGTTGTTAGTAGAAAGAACGAGAAAGTAATTAAATTATTATGGATGATTGGTGAGAGAGAAATAAAAAATTATTTGGTGTGTATTATGAGAGAGGGTAAAAAACAAATAATATTGTTTGGAAGGTAAAATTTACCCTCCAAAAACACCAGTTTGGGGGAACTTAGTATCCCCTTAATAATTAACCCCCCTCCAAAAAACTTTGTAGCTAACATATCCTTAGGCTAAGAGGTAATTTTACTGAATGTTATGTATTTCTTTTGGGAATAGTTGATTCACATTTAAAACTGTGCACTGCTTTTACTACGCATATGCTTGCATATTCTTTGATATGCCTTGGCCCAGTGAGCCCCTTTGCATTCCTGTTTTCCCGGGGTTGTTAATACCACTGACTTGAAGTCTATTTTAGATGTTCTGTCATTTTGTATTGTAGTCTAACTGAAATGCCAGCTTGCTTGATTTTTCTGCACTTGAAAATTGTTAAGTTGCCTTAGCCTGGATGCGCTATTCCTCGCTGTTTTTTTTTCCTTTTTCTTTTCACTTGTCATAGAAGGGCCAATTAGTGCAACAGAGCCAACAAAAAGAAAACGTTTGGAAACTCTACCTTGCATACCTGGTTTTTCTCAGCTCCTTCCCTTGTATGACATACCGGTCTTAATTTCTTTTCTTTTCTTTTTTTTTTCTTGCTTGCCCTATTGGTGCATTAAATGCTTCATGATCTTATGCTTATGCTTCTCTAGTTTTCCTATAAGGTCACATCTTCACATATTTGATTTAGCAGGGAAGAAAACTTGGGTGACTCTAGTAATTTCCTCTTGTTACTTGTCATAAGCAGAAATAAAGGAAATGCTGTCTATAGCATTACGAGACTTGCGCTTTAGCTCAGCAGTAGTACACCAGGTTAGAGACTTATTTTTTTAAAAAATTAATTCTGCTTGCTTATATTTAATATATTATTCCAGCATCAGATTGTAGTTTGTGTTGGTGAAGCTTGATGTACATCAATCAAATTTATTGTTTCTATGTTGTCTGGATGATGGAGAGGGAGACAGATATGGTAGGCACAGTAGAAATTGATTTTGAAGGGGATTCTATTGGTGTAGATAGATATGTATCGATGAAATACTGTGGCACGAGGAAGTTTTGCAAGTAGATCATAGATGAGTAAGAAAGATTTTGGTTCTTTTGTTTTTGGTTTGAGAAAAATATTTTCCCCTTTTTTTTTTTTTTGTATAACTGAAAATTGTAACCGCCAACTTTAAATTACGACATGTTATTCATAAATTATTCCATTAATTTATATTTTTAGCACTTGATATTCTCTTGTTTACAAGGTTCATGATAATTTGGAAAAGATGAGGGGATGTAAATAAAGGTTTTAAATCAGGAAGGGGGTCAGTTTAATTCTGGTTATCATTGGAGGACATTCTGTCTGTCCTATTAAACATATTGTTTGCTCCAGGTTTTGATCTTAAAGTATTTGGTAATGACCTACGCGTTTACTTCACTTAAATGCATTGCCAAATATATTCCAAATCTCAAACATGTGAATTTACTTGATTGCTCTCATACGTTAGTTGATTGTTGACTAAAATTTGAAAAAATAAGTATAGTTTATATTTGAAAAGAAAATCAATGCTATCAACTTAAGATTTTGGTCATATTTCAGTATCGAACTTTTTACTTCAGACCCACTTTGCCTATGCTTTTACCTACCATTCTCTTAGCTTGGTTTATGTATCTATTGTTTTTTTCCAGTTTCAATCAGTTCCTCATTATTTTGAAAGCAACAATTAAAATTTTGAATTCCGAGAATGGTGCAATAAAGAGCCCTAACAATTCCTTTAAATTTGTCGGTTACTATCGGTAGTCTTCTTTATCGATTTGCTTCTTCACATTGACACTTTTATGGTATATACTCCTATATGATGATCTATTCTCAAATGATTGATGCAGGAAGGTCTTGCTGCAGTTTTTGGGAATGGGTTATCAACAGCATGCATTGTTACTATGGGTGCTCAGGTGACATCTGTTGTTTGCGTTGAGGTAACTGCCATTTTATCTTAAATTTATCTATATAAACACCTAGGCTGTGCTGTCCAAATATGCTTGTTTGCTCAATGTTCCACTGGTCAATTACCCCGCTGCCCTATGTTGGGGGGGGGGGGACTGCAGGTTTGAACTCCCATTGGGGTGGGGTGCAATGAAGGGTATATTTTTTCAATGATTGATGGAAAAATGAATGCTTTATTGTCAACACAAAATTGAGTTTGGGTGAGGAAATTCTCCTGTGTAAATATAAACGAAAATTTTTTTCTTCTAGATGCGAAGAGTTCGAATATTTCCTTTTGTCACTATTCTTACCACTATAAGAACATTTTGGACTCTATTGCCACTACCCCATCAGACCATCATGCTGCCTCAACTATTATGAGGTGTTGTTACACTGTATATAACATCTTCCCTGTCACCTTTCTCACCTTCGTCGTATCAACATTGGTGTCCTGGTTGCAGTATTACCGAGTTGCCTCCATCAGTCTTTCACCATTTTCAGAATCACAATTATTCCATCTTTATCTTAAAAACTGCAGATGCCACCTTGACCACTCCAGTATCATTGTTGCTTCTGCAAGCATTGTCATTGCTCCTCTAAGTTGCTCTCACCCCACTGGATGTACCCATCATTTTTGTCATCTAGTTGCAAGGAAGCAAACAGCTGTTTGTCATGTCGCTTAGCCCCTCCCCACCTACATAGATTCTTCTCCATTCTTTTTAGTTGTACCTAACAGTATCATTTGGTCAATCTGTAGCATGTTATATCCAGGCCATGACTTGTGATAATTAACGACTTTCAACTTTGGTGTTCAGGATGGCGTGGCTCTACCTAGTACGGAAAAGACTTTGCCTTTTGGTGGAGAGGTGCGGATTCTGGTTTCACCCTTCAACTCACTACTGAATGCTGAACTTGTTATAAGCTTCAGTCACTAAGGGAATTTCTCGTACTTGAGTTTGTGTGATGTACATGCACACTTAGTGTCTATTGAGCTGTCCTGGCAAGTCTAGCTCGTGGCTTCATATATTATACAATGTGTGCATTTGTTGCTGTTGGTTGAACTTTTTATAAATTCTTTTACAGAAGGTACAGCTGCCCTTCTGATTGAGAACCCTTGTGATGAAATAATTTGTTTGATAAGCGCCTTGACCAGATTTTAAGTTACCCATGCCAGGGTTGGAAGCTGCATTAAGGTGTGTTTGGGGTTTGATGTCTGAAAACCATGGTTACCAAACATCCACTTGGGATTTCAAATATGCTTTCTAGCTTGCTACATTTTAAGTTACAAACGTCTGGATGGGATTCCAAACGTGCCTTTTGTCAACTCTACCACAATCCCAAAGACATACCTAGCAGTGGAGGAGTTTAGATTATGAGGGTGTTAACTCTGAGGCCACCAACTTAATGATGCAAACTGTTCTGGAATCTGCTGCAACTTCAATGTTCAGCAAAACTTCGTTCCATTGTTAGTTTTTGTTGAAACCTACCTAATCTGATGATCGTAGATTTCCTTAAGTTCTCTCTACATTTTCCTCACCATTGTTTCTGCCAATAGGGTGATGGTTAATTGCTTTAAAGTCTTACCTTAAAAAAGACCTTATCATGGCATGGTGATATAGGCATCAACTCTGGGAAAAAACAAAGAGACAAGGATGATGGTATCCTTAATATACCTGAAATAGGTGATTTAGTATTTATCCTCTCTCTCTCTTACCTTCAGTGTCGACAGCCAATTAAAAAGCAATGGCGAATGTTTATATTATGTTGGTCATGCTTCATGTCTTATGCTACCTTCCTCTCAGTATTTCTAGTTTCTTGGTTTTAGAGAAAATTTATACAACAATAGAAATGCTTGTTGGGGACAATCTTCATCAACTTGATGCTTGAATGATTATCCTTTAAACTGATGGTGTTTTAAATGTCATTTGCTATCTAGCTTGTGTAAATACCATATTTAGAATTTATCTGCCTCATATTATTGTCAAAGTTTATTTTCACTGTGAATCAACTTTCTTCAGGATATATCAAGATGCCTTCTCTGGACCCAGAGGCATCATCAGACATGGCCGCAAGTTCGCACTGACATGTTGACAAAGCCTATAGATTTGTTGATGCTTAACAGACTGAAAGAGTCTTATTGTGAAATCAAGGTCACTTTCTTCCTCTATGATTTTTCAGTTTACTGTCATGCGTCTGCTACTCTGCCATATTAGAGCTGATTTATTAAGTCAGTCTCTGTTGGTGAATGATTTCATTCAGGAATAAACCTTGTTTTATATGTCCTTTGTTATGCTCTGATGAATTTGTGGTAATTTTGTTTACCCACTTCAATTACAGAAAAGGAAAATTAAAATCCTGATAATGATCTGTTATCTACTCCCAAGAAACTAATAACCATCTTCAAAGTTGATATTGTTCACTTAGGTTTAATGCCTTATTATGTTGATCATCTTCAAATGCCATGAGAACTTAAGAGTTCAGACATAAATGATGATTACATACCTCCATATTATGCCTTTCTTGTCAGGGTTATATGTTATGGTCCTGTGTCAAGGATCACATCACAGGTCTATGTATAGAGAAATCCTCTCTCTTTCCCTTGTTTTGTTCCTCCCTTTCCTAGAGAAACCTATTTTTACAGTAACAATGGAGGTTTGTCCATAAGAGACCTCCAAACTCTCCTAAACCTTTTTGGTTATAATTCTTGTGATACTTTTATTCAATTACTATCTGCTCTTTATATAGTAGAGGCAGCTGAAAACAAAGACAAACCTAATAGGCTATTGCCTAAACAGACTCACACTAACATAGAAAGTCAATTAAAATACCACACCAATTAGGACTCTTATATCCTTTTCCTAATCTAACTTATTCTCAATAAATAATAAATAAAAGCAATAAATAAATATTTGCAACATCTAGTTTCCCTCCTTACACTGCTGCCTTCTTCTATACTGCTGACCCACAAATTCATCTAACATTACACCCCTCCTGGACATTGAGCTTGTGCCCAAGCTCAAAATGAAGATGAACAGTCTTGTAGGGAAGTTTTTGATTCTTACGTAGCATCATCTGGGTGCATTCCTAATCCCTGTTATGGCATGGAGGGAGATTTTGAGATCCATGGCGGGTCTGGTTCCTTGTCGAAGCATCCACCATCAAGCAGAATAGACGTTTACACCGGAGCCCAGCAGAGAACGACTCATCACAATTGTAACAAAGTCCCTTTGCACTCGCCTCTCTGCCATCTCTGCGCTTGATAACTTCTTCATGAAATGCATTGATGTACTTCTTGTGTCAGAAACCAAGGGCAAACTTCCTCCCACCTGTTTTGATTCATGGTTGGCAGTGAGTGGAGGAGCTGAACTTGTCATTTTTTAGGGAAATCAGTTAGAAAGAGTGCTTCTCACTCCAATTACGCTGGAGAGTTGCATCTTTTTGTCAAAAGCCCGAGCTAAATTCATAGCTATAACCAGATTAGAGGGTCGTTGCATCTCTATATCCACTTGTAGTGCCTCTGTAAGTTTTGCGGTAAACAAATCAAGTTGTTGATCACCCCTGACAAAAGTAGCTCTAGCCAGGACTGTCTGGAATTGACTCTGATACTCTTCCACTATCTCCACTTATTTGAGATTAGCCAATTCTCCTAGTTGGTTGCTGCTCAGAGGAGGTCCAAACAGCAGAGGACAATAGGACTTGAATTGTTCCCATGTGAGCCTCGGTTCTTCTAGGTCCATGCAAACAAACCACAACTGAGCTTCAACTGTCACGTGGAAAGCTGCTAAACCCACTTTTTCCTCCCCGATGCTCGGATTAAGGAAAAATTGGTCACACCGATACAGCCATCCAATGGGTCCTCTACCCCATTGTAGGATGGAAATTCCAGCTTAGAGTATCTAGGAACCACAGATGTCCCTACATGCCCTACGTGATGTCCCCCTTGAGGTTTGGTTACCTGGTGGTTGCTGCTGCCAGATCCACCCTCACACTCTTGGGACTTACCCTTACCCAAAGTCTGCAATGCCAGCATCTGTTGAATGGCTCTCATACCATCTGTCAATTCCCGCAGCTCCTGACCCATCAATTGATTGGAGTCGACCATTCGATGATCCAGATCTTGCATCCTTGCTGCCAGCTGCACGTAATCACCCATGATGATAGGCTCTAATACCAATTCGCTATGGTCTTGTGTCAAGGATCACGTCACAGGTATGTGTATAGGGAAATCCTCTCTTTCCCTTGTTTTGGTTCCTCCCGTTCCTAGAGAAACATATTTTTACAATAAAAATAGAGATTTGTCCGTAAGAGACCTCCAAACTCTCCTAAACATTTTTGGTTGTAATTCTTTTGATACTTTTATTCAATTACTGTCTGTTCTTTATATAGTAGAGGCAGCTGAAAAACAAAGACAAACCTAATAGACTATTGTCTAAACAGACTCACACTAATATAGGAAGTCTTAATTAAAATACCATACCCAAACTCTCATATCCTTTCCCTAATCTGACTTATTCTCAATAAATAATAAATAAAGCAATAAATAAATATCCGCAACATCTTAGTTACCCTCCTTGCTGCTGCCTTCTTCTATACTGCTGACCCATAAATGCATCCGAAACAATATATTTCTTGATGAACAGAATTTCAACTGTGAAATAATTTTATTGATTGCCCCTTTATCTGCTATAGTAGTTTTCTGATACTTATTTTTATAGTATCCTCAACCATGCGCTTTTTTGAAAATTTTGTGTACAATATCATCTGGTATTTAGCTTCCTTTGGAAATTTGCTAATACTTTCTATTCTATTCAGCATGCATAAGCTGCCAAACACAGTCTTGTGATTGCTGATCTTGATATATGGTCCTAACCTTAGTTTAGTAAAAACTGAATCAGCTACTCTTAAGCCTTTAAAAGTGGTCTAGATACCCTTCAATAAGGCATTGCTACTGTAAGACTTCCATTTGTATCATTTTGATTCCTCTGCAATTTACTTCCCTGTGTACAGGAGGGGAGCTTGATGCTGTTGCTGTAGTTCATTCTTATGAGGATGGCATGCCTGCTGGATCTCACAGAACCCGACTGGCTGCTCTTAATGTTTGTCTTCTATTGCCAAAATTTTCTTAGATTTATCTTCTTCCTGAAGGATATTTGGCTGAATAAAGTAATAATCTTGATGGTTCTCATGAAACAGGTACCTCCCATGGGTCTGTTCTACCCCACGCTTTTGGTTCCAGATATATATCCTCCCCCACCTTGTTCTTGGTAGGATATATTTCAAGTTTTCTTGTTTTGCACTAGCTTTCCTACCTTGTACTGATTCAACACTTGAGTTAAAATTACTGGTTTTTTTTCTGACCATCATGCTGAGCATCATCAGGTTTCTTGACTATGAGAATATGCTGGAAGAGACATTGCATTTAGAATATCCTAGAAGGCCTGACATGTCAGATGGTTTATTTCCTGGTATAAATGTTGGATATCCAATGTGGGAGAGCTATCCAATTTTTTCTTCAAAGCCAAAGAAAGAAGAGAAGGTTGGCCTTGCTGAAGCAATCACTAGTAGCATTCTTTCCACTGGTAAGATTCATGTATGATTGTTGTACTTGCCTTAATTGAACTTTAATTTGATATTAACATAACTTGGTGCTGTATGGACAGGTCGTATAGATCTCCAGAGAAAGTTGTTTTGCAGTATACAATTGGTGAGTTTTGGCAGCAAGATTTACTGTATGAGATCTTACTCTTTATTTCTTTCAGCCTGGATGATTGACATAGTTTCGCCTTCTGTTGTCCTCTAGATTGGTGGAGTGGCTTTGACAGCTGGTCTTATTCCTGCTGTGGAGGAAAGGTTGATCCCTTTTTTTTATTTTAATAGTAAAGCACATATTTTGCAGTTGCTACTGTGAGTATAACCCTTGTTTGTTATGATGAGCCATGTTTAAGATGCTTTCAAGCATGTGCAATATATTAACTTAACAGCTGGCAAACCATAAAAACAGCCACTCAATGGATCATGATCTGTTGCCAGAAGACACCAGTGTAAACCTGTATTCTTTACAATCCTTCTCAGGCAAAGTGAAAGAAGAAATAGTATTGTCACATTAACTAATTTGACTCTTCTTTTTAAGGGGTTAGATTATTTAACCATCCCACTTATGACTTATAAGCATTTCAAATCAGAGAATACTAACTCAACCGAAAGATGGATGAAGCTCTTACTTCATTGTTCAAGAGGACTACCTCACTCCAACCTTTTTAATACCTGTCTGTTATGAGTCTTCTGACCATGTCAACCCAACTTAACTAAGACTTTAATCTCAAACTAGTTGGTGTCAGCTTCATGGATCTTTCTTCTCACTCGAACCTTTTTAATCCATGTCTGTTATGAGTCTTCTGACCATGTCAACCCAACTTAACTAAGAATTTAATCTCAAACTAGTTGGTGTCAGCTGCATGGATCTGTCTTCCCCATCCAGTTACAGAAATTTAGTAGGATACAAACGAAGATAAAATGTCTTTGTTTACATGAAGCTTTAGAATGTCCTTGTTTCAAAAAAGTTTCATTTATTAAGCAATTAAATTCTGCTTAAATTACTACATCGATTCAGTTCCTATAGAAGATAATAACTTATTGTTAACGTTATCTGCTCAGTTCATCATCTTCTTTCTTGTTGCAGAGTTTTACATGCAATTCCCTCAAATGAAGCAATTGATACTGTTGAGGTTAGCTTACAGATCTGTTTTCTTCATGGTTATGATTAACCTTCTCTTTGTCTTTGATTTCCTTCTGCATATCTATATATTCATTAAAATATCCCGGCCTTTACTAGATGCAGAATTCATCAGATAATAATAGCAATTCATTTATTTAGTTGTCTAGAAGTATGACAAATGTTGTGCTTAGCATGATGTCTTGTTCTACATGTTAATTGTTGTTTCAGATCTTGATATTATCCAACTTTCGTGTTTGTTGAATAGGTTCTACAGTCAAGAACAAATCCAACTTTTGTGCCTTGGAAAGGCGGAGCTGTAAGTCAACCATTTACTATTGTTTTTATTGTTTCTCCTTTTTGGTTGTGGTTGGTTTTCTGTGGCCAAATTTGAATATACCAATTTAGTTGGGATGTTCATTCCTCATATCCTTTGTACAAAATCATTATTCGCAGATCCTTGGAGTTCTTGATTTTGGTCGTGATGCATGGATTTACAGGGAGGATTGGATTCGCAATGGGATCCATATTCGAAGTGGCAGAAAATACAAGGACTCTTATTTTCTTCAAGCACAAGCAACATGTTATATAAACTCTTAGAAGGTGACGGGAAGTATGCTCTGATTTAGAATTAGCAACCTCTCTTGTAAAACAAATTCTAATCTGATGAAAGCATTTGAAGTTTCTGAGCTCCCACTGTCGAGTTCTGTTTTGTTGGCAGCAGAAAAGATAATTAAGAAGGCCTTTCCTTTTCCTTTTTCCCTTCCTTTGTGCATGTCATTCAGTGAATTTGCATTAGCATTAGCTGAATTGGCATTTTATTTCAATATTAGAGACAGATGAGAAGGTTTGACACTTCCATGTGTGCAGATGTTAAACGCCAGGTGCTCTTTTCATTAGCATGTGCTTGGTGTGAAGCATGAAATTCATCAATTTAAGAGGTTAGTTGCTAAAACACCACATGCTAAGCGAAAGTTTTCCCAACTGCATGGCAGTTTTAGGCCGGGAGTGTGGAGGTTTCATGACAAATGAAATGTGCGCCTCATTAAACAGTTGGGTGTACTTGGTGAGATATCATGGGTCCCTCCCTCCCTCCCTCATTCGCCTGATGCATTCAGAGTTTAAAATAAGTTTTCTTGAAGTCTGGTCTTAATATTTGCTTTTTTAGAAAATTAAGAAAGCAAACAAACTCTTTTTGATCATCGTGTCAATCCTTTTATTATTTTTATGTTCGATTCTATTTTTTTTATTTTTTATTTTTAAAATCACTTTTTCAAATGATCTTATTAGCCTGGTGTATTCAAATAAATTTAAAATAATTTTTTGTTAAAATATTGTTCTCAATGTTTGAACTAAAAAAGTTGATAAAGGCTGAATATGACATAACTCCTCAACTTACTCATTTTCATGAATCGATCAGCAATTTTTAAACGTCTGAGGCTTGAATATGATGTCGGATAAAATTTTAAACAATGATACAGATACCGAAAAATAAATCATTGAATCATTGGTTGTACAAACACATACAATGTTGGGTGAACATGCAGTTTGGGATGATTTTTGTTAGCCCAAAATTCAACAACCTTGATTTTAAATAACAATTATTTTCTATTGTTTTCGCATTATCCTAGCTACACAAATAATCATATTATCCATTTTTTTTATCCTCGTTTATTTTCATAAAAAAATCAAACAAAAACAATTCAAAAAAAAAAAAAAAAGGCTGTTGCATAGTCTATTATTCTTCCATGATTTTTAAATATTTTTATAAATTTCTAGGATTCTAATTTCTTAAAATTATTTCTAATTTTAATTTTTAAAAAAGAAAATAAAATAAAAGAAAAAGATAACAATTGGGAAGATGATTTGGGATCCAATCGCAATGGATGTGGAAAGTGAGGACCAAGTGACATTTAATTAAGTATGTAATTGAAATAGGATAAAAATTAAGAAATTTGATTGAGAATTAATCGGTGCGAAATTAAAAAAAAAAAAAAAGAACAAGAGAATAAGGATTAAACAATTTCAATTAAAGGCTTATTGGAGACAAATAATGACATATATATTGAAATTGACAAAATAATCCAAGCAATGGCAAAAATGATTTTATTTCAAACTCTAAAAAATCCTTATATATAAGCTCACTTTCACCTCATTTTACAAGAATGCTAACTACCCCAAAAAAATCCGGCGGCAATATTCTATTTACCTTCAAAACCCTAGCCTCCATGTTTATCCATCTTCCACACAAAAAACGATAGTTAGAAAAATATAGCCTCCACTATTCATCATCTTCTTCTCCTTTCAAAAAAAGAAAAAAAGGAAAAAGAAAGCCACTAGCTCGGAAGACTATTGATCTTCCCGGCCAATAACAATTTTCTCTCTTTTTTTTTTTAAAAAAACCCAAATAGCCCTTAAAGAGAACCAAACCAAACTCATGACCTATGGGTTAATCCACCGTAGTAGCCAAAGTTCCTCCCTCAAATTGATTATTCTCTAGTCGATATTGTCTCCGACCACCACCATCAATTGGTAGTATAGCCTCGGATCCACCATTCCCGATCAATTTGAGAAGAAGAGAACGTCGAGTGGTCATAAATTATAAGAGAAGCCGTGAAACCCGACACCGAATAACAACCAAGTCGATTCTTTATTTTTCGACCAAATCAATCGCTCCCACCACCGGAGAAACATTTGTCACCTTCCTAAAAGCATTTTCCCTATAAAATCATGGCTCAACGTCACCAAAAATTGGCCAAATTGAAGAAGAATCAAAATCACGACCCGTTTTGTGATCCATCTACTCATGACTTGTAACCCATTTTCTTTCCCATTTTTGGCCAATTGAGACCACCTAAAGGCCAAAACGAAGCTCTAACAAGTCCTCGGGTTTGTTTGGTCCGATTTGGAAGCTTGAAAGCCATTAAATCCAATCAAAGCTCGATCGAAGAAGGAGAAGACTGGTCAAAACTTGTCGCTTGTCGAACTCCTTTGTCAAGCGATAGTGGTCAACATTGCCGAACCGGCACCTCCATCCGGTTATCCCCTACATGATAGAGTGATCCACATGTCGATTAGTGGCCGGATAGGCCACAACAACCTCTAATGGTGAATAAGAGCAATTTGGTCATTTTCGACACTAGGGGCAATTCTATCATTTTTCAAAAATAGGGGTATTTTGGTCATTTCTAGTAGCTTTTCAATGGGCATTTTGGTCATTACTTAGTAACCATTCGGTTTGTTTTCTTACCTTTTTTTTAAAATTATTTTATGATGTTGTTTTGAAATAATATTAATTTTATTTGCATTAAAAAATTTAGAAATATTTAGGTTATGAAATTTATTTTAATGTATGAAGTTGATTCGACTATACCAACGAGTCTCCTATTTATTAAAGAAAAGCTAGGTTGCAATATAATTTATCCATCAATGAAAATGCAAAAAACATAATAAGGACTCAATTCGGATAAATTTTATTTAACATTTAGCATAAATATTTTTAGTTAATTAGGTCATTCTTCAATTTGTCAATCGTTTTAGGACTTTAATTCGGATCCAATGTTAAACTAACGAGACTTCTAAATTTTAGGGCTTGATGTTAATTTAATACGATGTCGTATAAGAAAATAATTTTGATAATGTTTTCCTCACATAGCTCAAAATAGAACATGAAAAGAACAAAAAAAGGATTTTAAGCAACTTTAACAAGTTTCCTATTTAATAGGAACATACGTTATTAATTCAAATCAATCATCTTAGTAATTAAGTCATTTTCCGACATAATGGTTATATCAAAACTTAAATTAAATCTAATGTTGAATTGATAAGACTTCTAACATTAGGGATTCAACGATTCAATATGATGCTATAAAAAAAAATCAATTGGCTTAGGAAATAAAACTTGAAATTCGACTCTAGGAATTATTTTGGCAAATAATAGATTTTTTTTATGAGATAAATTTTAGGATTAAACTAGATTTGATACCTTTTTAGAAAATAGTGCCTTTGGGTAATTGATATCTTTCTAAAAACATAATCAACTCCTTACCCTAAAATCTCTAAATGAGTGTCATTTTTAGGTTTTCTATTTTCTTTAATATTAGGTGGTGACTCCAAAACATAGTTTAACTCACATCCCAAGCAAATAAACAAAATAAAATATTTTTAATAGATTTTTTTATGAAAGTCCCCTAAATGTCGGGTAGCGACGGAATGACTGGTTTCACTAAAGATTTAGAGTTAGGCTATAGGTTTAATCCTTTTAATTTATCTCTTTTATTTTTTTTCCAAGTCATTTATTTTTCAAGTTCATTTATTTTTGTCATTTAATTAATCTTAATTTTTTTATTTTATGTATTTTAATTCTTGTATTTTAATCTCTATATTAATTTCTAGTAAATTAATTTACGTAATTTATTTTCATTTGTACTTTAATTTTTATATATTATTTAGTGAACTGGGTTGGATGTGTTTATTTTAAATTGTTGCACATACCACAAAGGAAGCTTGCAAAAGCTCTAGACGGTAGCTAAACCCCTTTCGGACTTAGAAAGGGAGATTTGGAAGCAAGTATGACGAAAGTCTATCGATGCTCTTTCGGACTCTCATTTAGATTAGAGCTCATCTTATGCACATAAAATTATAGAATGACCTTCTCATACCTCCTCATACATAAGGTTAGAGGATGGAATATCCTATTGGTAATCGAGACGGTCCAAAAACTTGAAAAAACTTTAAGATTAGACAAGCTTTACCTAAATCCTATTTACAAAAGGTAGATCCTATCCATTAGGATTGACCCATTAAGAAATGAATTATCTTCATAATATTGTTTGATCTAACCTTTTTTTTTAATAGGTTATCATGATTTGCAATCTATAATGATAAAACAACGTATTCAACCTAGTTCACATCTTACATGCATATATTCATTTTATATATTTGTTTTGAGTTTTTTTAGGATTTAAAATATAGGTCGTTCCATCAAAAACTCAACTCTCTTTTTGAATCCACTACACTCGACCGAGGCAATAAGAAATGAAGAATGAAGAAAGAGTAAAGTGGGAACGGACTCATCAATTGGAACTCGATAAAATGAAAAGGAAAATTGCTCGCTTAACCAATTTGTTGGAAAAGGCCCCATTGGCTTTACCAAGTAGACGAAGCACTTCAAACTAAGGCCAAGCCTAAAGTGACATGCCATACTTACACCTTAGGCCATTTACCATCTCACCCACTAATCTAGAGGTAACATCATTTTCTATTGAGGCCTCATTCTCTATTGGGCCATTCACTTATGCAAATGGCCTACAAACACTATAGATGTAAGGTGTGACTACTATAGACCTTACCGGTGAGGAGACCATCAAAACTAAGGTAATAGAAGAGCTTAACATGCATAAGTTGTCTACCATTGAAGAACGCCTTAAGGGTATTGATATGTATAATCTATAAAAATAGGCTGAGACGTGCTTGTGCCAAAGGTAATTCCTAAGAAGTTCGTAGTTTCATAATTCATCAAATACATAGGCACTCAACATCCAATGACTTACTTACGAGCATATTATAGCAACATGACTGAGTTTGTGAATGATGAGAATCTACCCATCCATTTCTTTCATGTGAGTTT